TAAAAAATGTAACAGCAGAATACGTCCTAGCACAGTCACTCTACTAGTAGAGTGGCTGTGGTCCTAGTAATAAACTAAGTGACTTCTAAAGACTGAATGGTGTTTGCGAACTTCGTATTAGTTATAAACCGACGTTAGCTTCACGTTTATGTCACACCATGGAAACAGCCAAAAACATGTTGCTTGTTTTTGAGCGGAGCAGATCGCCAACCAGCCTACCGGCTTGTTACAGTAGGATATTACCTTCCAAAACATGTGGTCTATTGTGACTCAAATAATTCAAAAGTGTTATCAGTGTTGGTGGTTATGTTATAAAGTTGATAACTGTGCTATAAACTGTGTTACATATTTATTGTTCATTGAGAACACGTTAATGTTTCTCTGATGGTGTCATGGTGTGTTCAATCTGGAAGTTGCGCACTCACGAGCATCCGCTGTTTGGACTACAAAAATATGAGCATAAAATGACACACAGGCAGATTTTTTTTAAAAAAATTGGAAATAGTAGAATGATCGCGGAAAAAACAAAACTTGTGTCCCTTGCATGCGCCCTCGGCGGCACAGACTAGTATTCGAACCAGTGACGTATTTGCGTAACTAGACTATTTTTATAGAATAACCAGATTAAACCAATCAACTCATTTTCATTTGCGATCACTCGTCAACACAGTACTATACTTAGCAGTTTATCAGTAATAGACCCCTGGGAAATTACTATGCATATATTAATGACATGACATGATCAGCTAATGGTTTATCAACATTTCTTTGTCCATGTGTAACTGCAAAACATTAGAATATGAGCATAATTAACAAGGTCAATGACACGCTACGTGGATAATATCCAGTGAGTTGTACATTTATATCCTATATGTACTTATATATGTATCTTTGGAAATAATATATGGATAGTTTTTGGTGTTATGCGACCAGCTAAGTAACCGTAATCACTTTATCTATGTGGATAATATCCAGAAACTAGTAAATGTGAATCTGAAACACATCTTTGTGAACCTGACATGGTCAGCTGATAGTTCATCCAAATTTTATCCAGTTAGTGGTAAATATAAATCGGTAATAGATCTCTGGGTATCAATTATGTGCATAATTAGTAAGATTATACTAATTGTCCATCCACATTTCTTCATCTATATTGACAATATACAATTAGTAGTACTGGTATATGCATAACCCTGTCCACTAGATAGTAACACATGCATATCTGAAATACATCTCTGGGAATTAAATATATGTAGAATTAACAAAAAATAGTAGTACTGGTATATGCATAACCTTGTCCACTAGATAGTAACACATGCATATCTGAAATACATCTCTGAGAATTAAATATATGTAGAACAAGTCATTGTCAATGACACGTCCCCGTTCCGTTCATATTTGAGTGACATATACATTCAAAGCAGATCATGACCGAAATGCACCTGCATATGTACAACACATTGTGCTAAATCTGAACAAAATCCATCCATGCATGACTGAGATCCGGTTCTGGAATTGTGAAAATACGTGATTTTGATGCATTTTCGGCCTTTAAATGGCCATCATTCCGCTATTGTTAAGCAGATCATGAAACAAATGCACATATCTATTTGTGACATGATGTACCATGTGTGTGTGAAGTTTGAACTTGATCAATCCAGACATGTCTTGGATACGGATCCAGAACTGAATTCTTTAACAAAATGGCCGCCAGTCGGCCATTTCGAACTTGATCCGGAAAAAAAAGACGTGCATCAAGGTCCTATTATGTTTAATGTATGTACCAAATTTGAATGAAATCCGTCATGCATAACTGAGATCTGGGT